CTAGTTTTTTTTTTTTTTTTTTTTTTTATGAAATAGCTAGAAGAAGTGCAAAGGATTGCAACAGAACATCCTGTACATCTTGTACGCCATCTTTGAACATTTTGAGATCTTTTAAGGACAAATTGGAGGGTTTGTGCAACCCAGCAAACAAACCAAAACTGGACTCCAGATGGTGGAAAACTACCATTTGAAACAACATCCTAAACTTGATACTTCAGAAAACTTTTGCTAATTGACTTTTTGACTTGTGTTGTGGTAAACATTATTTGCTTTTTCCCAAGGTAATGGATCATCAAATCTCTGGGCATGTTTACAGGTGTCTTCAGTAAACACACACACACACACACACACACACACACACACACGTTTGAGGAAATACACATGAAACCAGACTACAAACTGCTCAGATCAAGAAGGACCAAGAAGTTACAAAAACAAACATTTTACACAGCATTTAATTAGTGTCTTGTTTTCCATTACAAATATCTAAAAAATCAGAAATTTAAAATGCATTTACTTGAGGAGGAAGATGCTTTAAGATATTGAGTCTTGTTTTCTGAAAAAATTATCAAAATTAAATGAGTTTATGCTTAAAACAAGAAGAAAAAAAATCTGTTAGTGTGGTAAGAAAATTATTTTGCCGAATTAAGTGTCTTTTTCTTTCTGTACTTTTTTCTTGTTTTAAGCATAAGCTTAATTTGGGTAGAAAACAGTACATTTATGAGTAAACATATCTTGATTTGTATATTTAGATATTTGTAATGGAATATATATATATATATATATATATATATATATATATATATATACAGTATATTTAATAAGCACCTTTGAATCAATCAAAATAACACAAGAAACATGCATTAAGAAAATAAATAGAGTGAATTTTGAATTCATGTTGACTTTAACACCATTTTGGTTTGATTTCTGTCTTTGTTCTTCTGGTCAGGTCTTGCGTCTGGTGGACATTAGCTCTGTCAAAGGTTTGGACTTGGTTTCAGTAAAGCTGTTACCTTTGTTATGATCAGGTCTAATTGTGCACACATACAACATATGTGGTGTAATTCTGAGGATGAAAAGTGTTTATTTAGAGCCAAAATGTGTCCCCTGCCTAGAGCTGACGGCAGATGCAGTCAAATATCGTGCTTTATAAGCGTAATGTTTGAAGAGTTTCTCCGTTTATTTTGTTGATTTGTTTATCTGCTTCGGGGACCGCTTGTCCTGTGTATCAATCTCAATGTGTTTGTATACGCATGTATGTCGCTCTGAGTAACAAAGACCACATTTCCTGACATAATTGCAGGTTTGACGATAAGACATGAAACATAACCTGAACACAGGCGGTTCTTACTGTGCAAGCATGAATATTATAGCGATAGTTCACCCAAAAATGAAAATGTGATGTTTATCTGCTTACCCCCAGGGCATCCAAGATGTAGGTGACTTTGTTTCTTCAGTAGAACACAAACGAAGATTTTTAACACAAACCGTTGCAGTCTGTCAGTCTTATAATGGATCTTGGATGCCCTGGGGGTAAGTAGATAAACATCACATTTTCGGGTGAACTATCCCTTTAATATTCATGCTTGCAATGTGTGGATCAAGCATTCATGTGTGCATAAAGTACACTATCGCTCGACAGTTGGGGTTTAAAGAAATAATTTATTTTCATCAGAGATGTTGGAAAAGATGTAACGGTGAAATATTAAACAGCACTGTTTTTAACTAACAATGAGAAATGTTTCTTGAGCAGCAAATCAGCATATTAGAATGATTTCTGAAGGATCACGAGACGCTGAAGACTGGAGTAATGATGCTGGAAATTCAGCTTTGCATCACAGGAATACATTAGATTTTAAAATATATGAAATTAGAAAACTGTCACAGTTTGGCAAGGTAGGACCCAGATGCAGAATGAACAGGGGGGAAACGGAGTTTAACAAAAATGGGAACACAAAAGGACAAGGCAGGAAGATGGTCCACACAATAGGGCAGGGCACACGACAGGAGAACAGGCTGGTCGGGGATGGGGGTAGCTCCAGACTCTGTGGCAAAAGGGGACTAGCAGCTCAAAGAACCACAGGCTTGGCCCTGGGGATGGTAACTCTTGAAGCACCAAAATGTCTGTCAGGTCAGAAGAATCAGCGACCAGGGAGGACTCCGGAAGCAGGGCAGGAACCAACACGACAGACACACACACAAAGACAAGACAACAGGAGACAAGAGATAGACACAGATCAAAAGTAGTAAAAACTTGCAAAACTATGACTAGGGAGATAAAAGAAATAAAACAAAGGAAAAACAAAAGAAAAAATAAATAAAGACAGCAACCTTGCTGAAAAAAAAAAGAAAATAAAAAAGGACAAAAATCAAAAGATCAAGAACTAAAATAAAGGAACTAAACCACAAAGACTGGAACTAGACTATAGACTAAACACGGGAACAAATAAAAACTAGAATTAACCAGAGGGAAACTAGACTGGATGCAATATACTGTATAGCAAGTTCTAACAAGACTAAAGACACAAGCAAAGAGAATGCACACAAAACGAACCAGCAAAAACCAGAAGGAAATGAGCACAATAAAAAGGGAGTAGAGCACACGAGGATCAGGTGAACACAATTGGACAAACAAGGACTAAACAAGGGGGCGTGGTGATTGAAAACGAGGAGGCAGGACAAGAGGAGCACATGGCCAACACAAACAAAGACACAGCCATGTGCTCAGGCACAAAATATACAAAGACACATTAAACAAAGACAGGACAGACAAGACTGCCAGGGCAGGATCCTGACAGAAAACAGTTATTTTAAATTGCAATAATATTTTATGATATTACTGTTCTTACTGCATTTTTGATCAAATAAATGCAGCCTTGGTAAACATGAGATACTACTTTCAAAAACTTTTACCAACCCAAATCAAAAAATCTTACCAACCCAAACGTTTGAACATTAGTGTACAGTATTTCTCAGGCCTAACAGTTCTTGTGTGTGCATTTGTGTATCTGTGTGTGTGTGTTAGACAGGAAGAAAGAGAAAAGGGCAAAAGGAGCAGAGGAGGTCCGAGGCAGGAGGAACGCCATCAGGCTGAGCAGAGAATACACGGTGGAGACGGTCGTGGTGGCCGACGTTGACATGGTGCAGTATCACGGAGCTGAGGCCGCCCAGCGCTTCCTGCTCACTGTCATGAACATGGTGAGTCTCATACTGTGGTAAAACTCCACAATCATGTTAAAAAGCAAATGCCCAATTAATTTTCTCCATAAAGGAATTGGTTTTAAACAAAATGTATATCCTTTCAAGACAGAACTACCATGAGCTCTCTGAGGTTGTGATGTGCGAGTGATCTATGAGATGCTCTCAAATGGTTTTGTTTCAAGACCTAGATTTTACACAAAGATAAAAATGTCCTTAACCCTATAAAGCTTGACATATGAAATAGTAGTCAAAATAATCAAATATTTAGAAATGGAACGGTTTCAAAATATAAAAAAAGTTTTGTTTTGTTTTCACTAAAAGGCCTTTTACTTGCTAAAAAAGTATGAACTATCAGACAGAAGGCACGTGTGCAACAGTTTTTTTTTTTATCCAAGTTTTTTGTATTACATTTTGCAGACATATAAAATGTATTATCTCAGTTACAAAATGAGACAGGATGTCTGATAAGAGGAAAAAACAAGAAACAAAAGAAATCAACACAACAACAAAACCCCCACCCACAACCCTTCCCGAAGGCCACACACACAAAAAAGAAAAAAACACAATTAAGGTTTAGTCAAATGGTCCCCTCCTAAGACTCTAATGAGAAGGTCCAGATGTTACAGTTACGTTCTCAATAGTGCCCAATATAGGGCTCCATATTTTGTAAAAGGATCTCAATGATCCTTTGGAAGAGTGTCTGATTTTTTCAAGGTGGATGCATTGCAATACCTTTCGTATCCAATCCTCATGTGATGGGGGAGAGGCATGTTTCTATTTAAGGAGGATGGCACGCCTAGCTAACAAAGTGGTAAAGGCAATGACGCAGCACACTGTGGATGATACAACTGAAGCTGGGGGAAGGCCAAATAGGACAGTCAATACGTTAGGGGCAAGGGTAGTGTTAAGGGCCTGTGAAAGTGTTCTAAATATGTCTGACCAGTAGTCCCTTGTGCAACAGTTTGTTCAGTTAAGTTTTGATTATATTGGCCTTAGAAATGTGGCTCACAGTTTAGTTTGAGGGCCAATTCTCACTATTAACTAACTAACTATTAATTACGACTTTTGCCTCCGTAAACTAAACCTAAATTTGCTGCTTAATAATAGTTAGTAAGGTAGTCGTTAAGTTGAGGTATTGGATAAGATCAAGGTATCTAAAAGAAGGTAATGCAGGAGTAAGGCATTATTAAGTGCTTTATAGGTACTAATAAACAGCCAATATGCTAGTTAATAGTGATTATTGGTCCCTAAACTAAAGTGTTACAGAAATTTGCATATCAAATATGATACAGTGGTCTTTACAGGGTTAAAACTGCGTAGGCCCAACAATATGACACTGGCTGAATGGGAAAATTGACAATTTTGGTTTCCAAATGAATTTCGATGGCGTCATGCTCTCGACAGCCAATAATAAATAAACACATTGTGGTCATTACAAATGTTTATTCATGCTGCATGTGTGAACCAGTATTTAATTCAGTCTGGGCCGTGTTTTCTTTTACTTTGCGTCCATGATTTTTACAGATGAGGGCATGTCAGGCAACCTGTCCATGTCGCCATCTGCCTAATTTGGCTTCTGCTTGGTAACAGATGAATTTGCAATAAAATACTGCTGAGTTTGAGGCACAGACATCAAACAGCAAAAGATATTGGCAGAGTTTTATCAGCGTTTTATTTTGCTGTATTAACTATCAACAATTACATGGTTAGTTGTATTTTATTTGCTTTCAGCTGTTTTTTTTTTTTTTTTTGCTGACTGTCAGAACAACCATTTGAGAAGCTAGTGTATTTGCCGTGCATTTTGTTTATACTGACAAATGGTTTAAATATATGCCTAAACTGCATATTTTGCACGTAACAGAGCATTTGGACACTGTAAGTCCTGGCAAGAAGAGAATGGGCTCATAAAACAGGACAGAGAGATAGATAGTAGTCGAGCGTAGCATTTGCTCTGCTGACCGCAGCTGTGCTGAGTGTGAGACACACATTCATGAGTTGGCAGCTCACACACACACACCTCTGTTTTATCACATGGCCTCTGTTCCAAAAATTTGTGTGCTGTCTGTGTACAGAAAGCAGCAGTTGAGGTGTCCAGTCAGAATTTAAATCATAATCTTTTAGTAAAAGATTTAAAGTAAATGCACCTGTAAAATGCTGTTTACCGTAGGAGTGGGTATTGCTAGTATTGTGGCTAAGAAATGCCGTTCACCCTTATTTTTTATACAACCTTGGCAAAGACCTAATTTAAAACCCCTTTTATTTCCATAATTTGACATGTTTCTGAGCGAAACAAGATATTGAATTAATAAAATGTTGGACGAGACTTGATTTGATCCATCTGGGATTGAATGGACTGGAAGTGGTTGTTTCAGAATGGAGTCAAGTTGCTGGAGAGGTTGGAAAAATTGAAAATGAAAGAGATTTGTGATATTAGAGAAATTGCATATAAATCCGTGTTTTTTTGTGAATTAAAAGTAAAAGTATTAAAAATGTTCTTCGTTAGTTGAAATAAAGGTGATATACAGTATATATATATATATATGATTTTACTTTCTATTGACTTTACCTAACAACTTTTGTGATTGTTCAGATTTATGAGATTGTTTGTGTAGGTTTGAAAGGAAGGAATAAAGAAAAATAATCTTCAGTTGTGTATTTCAGTCGTGTCCCAGAGTGAATGACCTCACTCTTATCAAGTTGCTCATTCAGAACAGGTTCGTAAACACAGTGTTTGCAGCGAGTGGAAGCAGGCCTGCGTAATTAAGTACAAACAAACTGAATACTGATCTGTAAAACAGTCCACACAACAACACCTCACTGCATCTGCTGCGGTAAAGCAAAGTTTATCAACTCAAGAACGGCCCTTTCTCCTGTATCTCTAATGACAATGGTGAGTCATATGAAGATTAATGTAAAAATGAATGAATTGCCCAGATGTGTGTGATTTGGTAAGAAAGTACACCTCCTTTTGTCCTCCCTGAGGTCCTTAGATTTACATTCCTCACAAGCGAGTTCGACAACGCTGTGGAAAATTGTGCTGTTATTCAAATCAGTCTCTGCGATTCTCCTCCAGATGCTGGTTACTCATCAATATCTGAATCCTCCCTTCAGTTCAGCTCTATACTTCTTCATTAACTTCATCCCGCATGGAATTGTCGTTGGTTTTTATTCTACAATAGTCAGTCATGTTTTTTATGGTATTGTGAATCACACAGCTTACTTCTCTGAGGATGATGAAAGCTCAAACACCTCTATCTCTTTCTTGATTCTTTTATCTTCCTTCATGTAGAGATAATACATGTTATATTTCAAAAGTTATTGTTTAGCGATTTGGCTTTGCCAATGTGTTTTTTTTTTCAATAACAAGTGGTGATGCTTCTACAGAATATTTACTCAAAATTGTGCTTTATTCACACAAGGTGTAGGCAGATATTAGAAATGACACAAAGATAAGCTTTTTCTGTTGAATTGAAAAGTGGAAGAAATAAAGAAATTAATATTTGTAATAATATTGAAATAAATTAATAAATAAATAGAATTGAAATAAATAATTAAATAAATGAATAAATATTTGTAACATTATTTCTTGATATTTCCTGAGGAAATAAAAATAGAATATAAAAATATATATAAAATAAAATTAATACAATTAATTAAATACTGCATAATATTTTATAAAATACTGTAAAATTCTTGTTTAAACAACCCAGGCATATTTTTCCACAGTTTTTCATTATAAAGGCCCGTTCACACCAAGGACGATAACGATAAAGATATAGTTCTAAAAATCTTTCTCAATATTAAAGAATAGCAGAGTCCACACCACAACTATAACGATAAAGACAAAGAGAAACTATATCGTTGGAATCACTTTCAAAACGATTTTTCTCCAGCTGATGAATGATAAAAAATTGACAGCCAATAACAAAAAAAAGACCCTTTTTTAGTTATGATGCAAATGAATCATTGAATCAGTGTTTTGAATCAATTTATTTAAATAGACATTAAATCAAACTTACCCACTGTAATATAATTTTTGTATTAACACTCATATTTTCAAGCCACAAGACAGAGTTGTGAAACCCACAGAAACAATGTCTTCAGAGTTTACAACGTTTTTTTTAGATGGTACTGAATAGCTCAATAGACCAGCTAGGCCAAAAGAATCAGCTGATATTGGGCTATTTTGATATCAACATCAGCTGATAACATGTACTCTTGGCAATGAACACATTTTTGCTTGCCTTTTTGTCTAAAAATCTACTGAAATCCACTGAAACTTACTACTGATACTACATGATTTCCATTTAAAAATATTTTTGAGTGAATTTTAAGTCAAAGTTAATTCTCTTGTCTCGTTCTCTCTCTACAGGTGTATAACATGTTTCAACACCAGAGTTTGGGTGTGAGGATCCACATCCGGGTTACCAAGTTGGTTCTCCTGCACACCCGTCCAGTAAGTGTACAAACACTAGATCAACATCGAGATCTATGTACATCATGACTCAACCTGCCATTTATCTGCTCCCTTGATGTTTTATTCCTGTGATGTTATCCTCGCTCAGTGTGTGTGTGTTTAACAACCGGTTTCCCCCTTCATTTTATTGCTGGATTTCATTCTCTCCAAAGGCTCCGGAGAGTCTGCCAGAAGGTTTTTTGAGTGCTCACCTCAAAAGTCTGAAATGATGTATGCCAGGACGTCACTGAATAGCCATTAGTGTAAATATGTAGTGATGCTTCAGGGCAAAGCCTTTGGACTCACAGTCTCTGGTGCTTGAAACAAACTGTCTTCACATACAACAGCAATTCTCAAAACCCTGTTGATTTCATTGTGTGATCGATGAATCAACAAGTCCCACTTCATGTCAGCGGGAGTCACAGTGTCACATGATCTTTCAGAAATCATTCTAATATGCTGATTTGCTGCTCAAGAAACATTTACTATCAACAAACATTTGTTCAATAAAATACTCTCTCTAATGACTAGCAAGTAGCAAAGCACCAAATCATGATTAATGTAAACACTATCAGCTAAAGGCTCTTTAAACCCAAATTTGATTTGTGTGCCTCTTTTACTGTTTCAATAGGAAATACTACTCTCATCAGTCTCTTTAAAGTAAAATCCACTGACTAGTAGTGTAAACTGTTTGTCCCTGGGAGTCTGTCATATTTAATTTGAGGCTAAAGAAAATGAGGCTCTTACTGTTTTAAAGAAAAAAAAAATCCCACAGTTCTATGTTACTACAGACCTTCTTACAAATACAGTGGGAAGTATCTAATTTAAAGTTTTGCTGAAGTCTGTAAATCAGATTCTAATTGTCTAGTGTGTTTCTTAGGAAAAGCTGAAGGTGGGCCACCATGGAGAAAAAGCCCTGGAGAGCTTCTGTCACTGGCAGCATGAGGAATACGGCGCACGATACCTGGGTAACAATCACGTTCCTGGGAGCAGAGACGATCCTCCTCCTGTGGACGTGGCTGTGCTGGTCACCAGGTACTTATCAATCACGCTTTGATGAGCAAATATGGAACTCAAGTTCACACTCAAGTGTGAACTTGAGCAGAGCTTCATGCATTCACTAAAACAGCAAAAAAATAAAATCTTGATTTTTTTTCAGAACGTTTGGCCGATTCTCGATTTTTACCATTTTTATCTAGTCAACTTGAAACTGTAACTACAACATGATTCAAGTAACTTTTTCTTTATTAACCCTCTAGTTAAGAAAAATCTATCCTAAGTGCACCACACATAAAGTTGTCAACATGATGTAAATGTTAAACAAATCACTTTTTAAATATCTTTGCAGAAAAGATGCATGAACTACAACTACATCTTGTACTATATGTTCAGAAATAATACAAGGAAAATGCTTAAAAAAATGATCAAAAGTCAAGGTAATTCAAATTCAAAATGACTGAAGGTATAACACCAGTAGACTATTATTAACTATAAATGTTCTGTAAAAACAATGAACAGCAGCTTTCAACCTATCACCATGATGCAAACATTAAATATCAGACATATAGTAGTAGTTCTTTACAAGTTTTTTTATTTGATTGTGCTGCTTTTTTATAGTTTTTTTTTTCTATGTAAACATTGATGTGTTTGACTGTTGCACTCGCATCTCTTGCAGCATCTCATGCATGAAACGGCATTATAAAAACGCTGCGCTCAAGTTAAACATTTTTCCTATTCCACAGCCCTCATCACATCTTTGTCAATACAAAAGTGAATTCTGTGTGAATGTCACCTAGCGATATATTGTACTTATGGTCCTTCACAGAGTGCGTCACACGTGAGCGGTTAATCACATGCGCCGACATGCGGTTGGGCCAATCTTTTCTCTTTACTGTTATCATTGGCATATTGTCAAAGTGTCTATTTCTAACGTTTGGTAATATTTCTATTCAATCGTGATTCCTCGATTTCTAAAAAATAAAATCGTGGCAAAACATTAAATTCGAATGAATCCCTAAAATCTGAAAAATTGCTCAGCCCTAACTAAAAATGACCAAATCACCAGTTGATTAAAAGACACTAACCAAAAACGATGAAAAAGGTTAGTTAAGAGACAAGATTGTGCAGAATTTGACAGATACAGACAAAAACATACATTTTACTTCTGTTTCCAAATACTGTTTTGGCTCATCACATCTGCACAGATTTTATTGCGTTTCGCTTCTCCATCGCCGTCTCTCTCTTTTACGTCTTTCACTTTCCGTTTTGTCACACATGTCCTTTGAAGTTCGGTGTCTTTCAGCTCTTGGCTGCTTTAGACAGATTTAACCTTTTTTCGTCCCTTTTATTGGGATCCAACACAATTTGAACCCGCCAGTATCTGAGCTGTGATAGAGCCTAATAATCCTTCTGTCAGCGAGACAGGTTTGCTCCCGATCTTCATCTTTTCACTACAACAGATTACTCACGGCAGCCAAAACACCGCATTCCCGGCTCGGGATTAGGGTTTATTAGCGTACTGTAATTTTCAGGATCCAAAAAAGTAAAGAAAAAGAAAATCCTTTTGTTAAAATGACTCATGTGAGCCTGTCAGATACTATCTGTCATCCCGGGCCCGAAGAGCTCGCAGGGAGAGCCAGCACACACAGAGACGGCCTTTGTTCCCCCTGCGCTGGGTTATATATGATCTCCGCCGGCGTACAAAAGCAGCTCTCTGTAAGGATGCGGCGTACAGGAGCAACATCTGTCTCAGCTTGCATGCCAAGATGGCTCGGGGCAGCGGGAATGCATCAAAGCAAATTAAGGCTTGACAAGGTGTGCCTCGGTTTCCCCTCTCACAGCTTTGTTGGAGCTGTCAGTGGCTCGTCCCAGGTTCTTGCGGCACTTGCTGACTGAAGAAAGATTATCTTCTTAATGCTTCTATGGCCGCATTCACACCACGCTTTTCACTGCTCTTTTGAGAGCTTAAACTCATTCAGGCCTTCGCTGAGATCCGTCATAAAATCATTACTTACCGATCTAGGTTTTTAAAGAGCTGTTGCGGGTAGAGTCCCAGCACTAGGGCCAGCATCACTCTGCCCATGTACTGTACTGGAACATGCCGTGTTACATGCATGGTTGTAGTTTACAGCTGCGAGAAGTCAAAGTGATATTATGATTAGCATTATGTCAAACACTGCTGTCTGTACGCATACAGATCTGTAACCTACAGACATTCACTTGTGAATTTAAATGCGATTGTTGTGCGTCATTTTGAATTACATTTAGAATGCTTGAATTTGGATTAAATTTGAACTGGGGTAACAAACAGGATGTAGAATCTCAATTGAATTTGATGTGAATCCATAGTAGCGTTCAAACGTTTCAGGTTAGTGGTATTCTTTTTTTTTTTAATAAATTATTTTTTATTGATTAAAAGGATCACTAAGACATTTATAATGTTTAAAAAACTTTCTATTTCCAATAAATATTCTTTTGAACTTTTTTTGAACTGATTTCTGAAGGATCATGTGACACTGAAGACTGCAGTAATGATGAGGAAAATTCAGGTTTTAATCACAGGAATAAATTACATTTCGCAATACATTCAAATAGTTGTCACAGTCACTCGGGGAGGAAGGAAAGAGGAGATGCTGGAAAATACGTTACCTAGAATTTAATTCAAAATAAACAAAAGGAATACAAAACACAGGAACTACAGGGATGACATTTAACAGCAGACGGGAAACAAGGGGCAGAACACACTATAAATACACAGACACCAATGGGACACACCTGGGAACAAATTAACTAATTAATACACAGCTGGACACAAATGATAACAAATGAGGACAGGACACAGGAAGAACCAAATAAGGGCAAACAGGAACTCAACAGGAACATACACATGACAATAGTAAGTGGCTTTTTAAAATTGTAATAATATTTCACAGTGTTACAGATTTTTCTGTATTTTATTCAAATAAATGCAGCCTTGGTGAGCAGAAGAGACATCTTTCAAAAACATTAATACATTTTACAGACCACTTTTGAACAGTGGTGTATGCAGAATTATTATGAATTAAAAATCAAAGAAATTCATATTCATATAAGAAATTCATTCATATTCTTTTAACTGGAAAAGTCTTGACAAACATTGAATGCTGCGTGAAATATCCATGTTTGAAAGTTTTGAAAAAAATCTTTAATCGCCTTACAGACAGAAAGAACAAGATATAGATAGATAGATAGATTTTAGCTCGATTTTATTTAAAGATGTCTCTTAGCCACCAAATTGCAAAGGTTAAATGATGCCAAGAAATGTATGATAGTCAACAGAGATGATCATTTACCATGTTTTACACTGCAGTCTCTGCAAACGTTTACTAAACAGGTCTGATTATTATGTAATGTTGGCACCTAGATTTCCGTACGAGTTTCCAAATTAGAAGTTTGACTTTCTGTTGCACCTTTCCAAGTAGGAAGTTGGAAATTCTGACTTTCCGAGTCGAATGGAATGCAGCATTAGCTCCTATTATGCAGGATGAGGTCAGAAATGCTTTCATTTGGACGATTTTGCGACAGTTGGGACATGGTGGTGGGTCACATCCTCCACACACGTCAGCGCTAATGGAAATCAGCGCTCCTAACTGTGTCCCTTCCCAGCCGTTCGTCGCTGAACAGGATCTGTCTTCAGCACCCAGCTGTGTGTCACATTCACTTAAGCTGTGAAGGAACAAGAAGGAAAACCAGAAGCCCACATCAAAAACCCTTTGGAATAGAGGGACATCAGACAGCCAAAGTGACACGTCGCAGAGCACGTATGGTGAAAACGTTTGATGACTGCAGACTCACAACAAGAGACATTAATCTTAGCTATCTGACGTTTAGTAAACGACAATGTCTTTGTTAATTCGAAAAGCCTATTTGATTTTTTTTTTTCTCTGTCGAACCACCTCAAAGGTCCTCTGATGTTTTAGTTTGTCATTTGTTGACCACCAATGTTGGGGAAACTACTTTGAAAATGTAGCTTTCCAAACTACAACCTGCTCATAATTTAAAGTACACTACTGTCAGGCTGTTCTTTTGAAAACATAGTCAACTACACTACAAACTACTAACAAAAGATAATAACGTTAGGCAGTTCACATTTTTCATATTTCATTCAGAGGTCATGTGTGAACAGAATCTGTGTTTTAAAAAGGTTAAGATGCCATAACATGGACTGAATGCTGTGCGAACAAATCTGTACTGTATGGTTAACAGATCTGAGGTTAGGGTGCTTTAAGAACTTTGTTTGAGCCAGTTATGAAGTTCTGACAGAATTGATGCAATCACTCCACACCAATTAGGTCCAATCCTGTGACAACAGATTTCAAAATTGTGATTAATTACGTTGCAGAAGGAAATATTGTCAAACTGGACATATACTGAAACTAAAGAGCTTCTCTCCAGATGTTTAACAATGTTATTTTAGTATTACTATTATAGTATTTATTAATATTTTGAATTAGCATTTTTTTATACTTGCATTTTAATTTTTAAGTGTTAGTAATTTTGCTATGTGCTATATGTATATTATTTGGTGCTGATGTGTGAATAAAACCAATATGTGTAAATACCAGATGTGTACAATTGCCATAAAAGGCAGTTTTAATGCAATTCAACATGTTTTTCATGTGTGAAATTGAGTATTAAAGATATGTATCCTCTTTGGATATAAGATTATTTGTTTCTAAAATGAGAGCAGTCAGAGTATTTACCTGGTGCAAAAACACAAATCCTGTTGTTTTTACAAAAAAATCCTGGCAGCTATGGTTGCCAGAATAATTCTGTAAAAATACAGTATAAAACTGTAATTCCATTTTAGAGTTTTTCACTGTAAATTATAATTTGATTTGAATGTTTACTTGTGAAAACTGTACATTTAACAGTATTTCATGGTAAAAATTGGAATTACGGGAACTTACTGTTAACCTATTAACAGTTTTTCTGTAGCATTTTTACAGTAGTTTACAGTTTACCATGCAGTCACTATTACTGACATAATTGAACAAAGGAATTAACACTAAATTCAACTAATTAAACTAGAAAAATATGAGTTCTATATCAGTTTAATATTAGTTCTATATCTTGTAAACCTTAAATGCATCGCAAGTCACTTTGGATAAAAGCATCTGCAAAATGCATACATGTAAATGTAGTAAATGAGAAGCTTTGATAGTTTTCAGCAAGAGTTGAGTAAGGTAGTAAAGTCTGTGATGTCGCTGCGTTTACTGAGTTACTCCCCAACACTGAGTACCACAATCCCTGCTTGTCATTTGTTAACAATTCTGTGTTTAAAAGCACAGCAGAAGTATCTGGTGTTCTGGCTCTCCTCCTCACCTGTTAGTCATTGTTTAAGCTCAAAAATGATTTTGGTAAAGTCAAATTACAGGCTCTGAGGCTGCGGCCACTGCCTCCCAAGAGTTCAGCCCTGCCAAAGACAATTACAAGAGGAAGCACAGCAGACATCTTTAACTCTTTGTTGTTAGCAGATTTGAAGGCATTGGACGTGGTTGCTCTAGACTCAGGAATGCTTTTCAGTCCGCAATGTCGACTGCTAATTGAGGGATTCAGAGGTGCCTTCAACATGAGCTGACGTTGACCCTGTGTGACGATGAGTCGTTTAATTGTGTTTTAGCAAACAACTTGCCAAGTTTGCTTGTTACAATTTGTTGCAATTCTTATCGTGCTGAGAGAGCTAAAATACAAAGTCTCTTAGATCTTCTTGGATGTCAGATGGGCTTCCTTTGGTGGCGGGGAGGAGATGTGCTTTCTGCTTGTAATGTGGGGACGAATCTGTTTGAATTCAGGCCGGTTGGGAAGTGGGGGGGGGGTTGGAAGATATCCAGACATCAAGTGTTAGTCTCTTTCTGTTTCTCGCCGTCTGTCTCTGCCCCCTTCTGTCTGTCTGCACGTCTCCTCAGACACCTCGAGCCCTGATATATGTGTCGTATAACTTCACATTGATTCGTTCCCAGATGCTGACGTGAAGCTGTCAGCACCTTGCTCAGTCGTCAGATGGGTGCGTGGGAAAACGTCCTCTTCTGAAGCATCTGTTTGCCATTTCACACCCAGCCCTGGCCTTTAGACGTTCCCTGTTTGTTCCATAGGGCTCTGACATAATTCTCAGCACGCTCACGTTAACCCTGCTGCGGTGGCCAAACTCTATCAGCGCTGATCTGCCTTACAAATTCCAGAAAAATCAGCAAATATCTGAAAAAAAAAAAACACCCAGAAGGCCACTGGTGAGAATAAAATGCTGTGTGTGTGTGTATATATGGATTAAAAAAAATTCTTCCTAAATTTATTTATGCATATTACTGTTTTATTTTTTTATTTTTGAAGATAAATATATACAGTATATATATATATATATCTTATGCACACCCCTTCAAGTAAAGTGTTACCAAGTTGTATTTATTTATTTTATTTTATTTTAATTTTATTTTTTTCATATTTTTTGGTTCTACAAAACATTTCCTCATGCAAAATTTCTTTTGGTTTTGGGGTAAAAATAACTCAGACATCTTGACAGGCATCGTGGGATTCACCCTAGCGTGTGTTTGAGTGTCAGTCCTGAACGTTAGTTAGCGGTTTTATGCATCAGAAGTCACAGAATTGCTCTACTGCCATCACTGTCTGAAGTTTTGGTGTCATATTGAGTTCATGCCACTCTTGTCTGGTTGTTGCAACTTCTCTTGAGCAGTGTGGCTGGTTCACTCCTCATGTAAACAACAGTCGAGCAGGAAATGAGCTGGATTTGATTAATTTACTGGTGTTTTGAAGTGTTACTCCTTTAACTGATGGAGGAACGCCACACAGGGGAAAGGAGCGCACAGTTACAGCAAAACACTGTGGTTTTCCCACAATGCACTATTTAACCATCAGAGGTCAGGTTCAGGCAACAGGCATCCAAACAAACAAAAACATTTTCAGAAGGACCCTTTTGTTTCACAGATATATTGAAGCTTCTCAAGATATTATATATCAGCTTTTCATTCCAAGTTTACTAAAGACTATTTGCTGTTTTGCCTTTAATGTTTGCTTTTGTTGTCTTGAATCTGGTTAGTTTATTTCTCTGATAAATAAATAATACACAAGTAAATGAATGTGCAATGAACATCTCAGTTATGTTTCATTTATCAGCCAACCTTGTCTCAAGTCCCAAAATTCATCTGCCAATTAATGTAAATAGCATTGATTCATTTGTTCATAGTGAGATCTCTTGACTTTTGACTGCAAAATTTGGTGTCTGAGCATTGTTTGAGACATTTTTGAGGTCTCTGAAACTCTTTAACAGGAGAAAAATCTGAAAGGGAGTCTCCATTTGCCCTCTTTTTAATCTCCTTGCTGTGTTGGAGAAACAATATAGATCTCATTTGATTTGCTTTTCTATTATCTAACATTTGTTTCTGTTTCTCTCTTGTCTTGTTTTCTCTCTCCAGAACAGATTTTTGCGTCCATAAAGATGAGCCTTGTGACACAGTTGGTGAGTCTCACTGAACCGCTCTGTTTTTGGTGAATTCTTCTCATAGTTACTTCATGGGAATTTATAACCACACACACAAATACCTCAAAAATGAAATGGAATATATCTTGCAGTCTGTAAAAACCCACAAAATTGTATTATAAATCCTTGAAATATCTAAGTCTTGTTAAGCCACAAGAGAACATCTGTTACCATGATTTTAGCACCGCATAGCATCACCCTAATAACCACCCAGAACATGCTACAATCATGCCAACAAGCTTAAGCAACACGTAAACACATCAAAATAACCAGTTTGTTCTATATGTATTATTTTTAGGAACATAATTTTAGGTTCTAAAATTCTTTATTCATGCAATAATTATTTAGTTATACGTTTTTTTAACCATTTTTAGGTTCAAAATTTTTTATGCAAAATTTCTTTACATTTTTCAGGTGAAATATTACCCTGACATAAACACACACACCTCAAAAAGCAATCTTGCAATCTGTAAAAATCCACAAAATTGTCTTGTAAAATCAAGAAATAATTAAAAGTATTTTAGCGAAGTACTTTAGTATTTATACCTTTAGTATAAAAGTATTATTATATATATTTTTAGGAACATACATTTAGGTTCTAGTACTTTCCTAATGCTAAATTTTGTTTGATTTTGCGGGTGAAGTTTTTGTTCATTTATTTTTTAGGCTCTACATTTTTATTCACAATTTCTTTTGATTTATGAAATGAAATATGACCCAGGCATATATACATACCTCAAACATAAATTGAAAATGTCTTGCAATTTTTTTTGAAAAGCCACAAAATTGTATTATAAATCCTTGACATAACTAAAAGTTCTGTTACAGTGATATTAGCAGCAACTGCATAGCATCACCCTAATAACCACCCAGAACATGCTAGTCATGTCAACAAGCTTAATGTGGGTAAGCAGCTCTCACAATTTCTTCAGAAAATAATGTACAAATAATGTAAAAATGCAGTTAATGTGTTCGAGTTCTTCAGGTCATCCGTATGCAGCCAGTTTCTTCTTCATAAATCTCTTGAACTTTTTGATATGGACCATTAAGTATTCTGACATTATCCCATCAGTATTCAGTCATTGATGGAGAAACACAAAACAAGAGATGAATGTTTGCTGCATAACATAAACATGCCTTTGGGTCTTGAGAACGTCAGTCCATGATCTTTTTAATCCAGAGCATTCGTCATCGAAACCTCGATTTCTTCCAAACTCACAACAGATCTCAGATCCTCTGGCGATCCGTGAGTCCTGGCCACCTGCCGCTTGTGCAGTTCTTTGTGTGGGGCATTTGAAAATAGTCCTGTCTTTTCCCCTCTCCTGACCCCCTGGATTCCTGCCATTCAAGAGCGGAGCCAGGTGACTCATATTCACTCGTATCCCAGCGTACCCCGGGGAATGAACACTGAACTGTGATCTGCTCTTGAGCTGTGTTCCAAAAGCTAGTCAGCTTTGTTTTTCTGCTCTCTAGAGAGGCAGCAGTCTAATAAGGCAGCAACCTATTAGAAACGAAACCTCATTCACTACTGTTCAAAAGTTTGGGGTTAGTAAGATTTTTGTTTTTGAAAGCAGTCTCTTATGCTCATCAAGGCGGTGTTTATTTAATAATATTATGAAAAATTATTACACTTTAAAATTACTGTTTACTAGTTGAATGTATTGTAAAATGTAATTTATTCCTGTGATGTAAAGCTGAATTTTCAGCATCATTACTCCAGTCTTCAGTGTCACATGATCCTTCAGAAATCAGTCTAATATGCTGATTTGCTGTACAAGAAACATTTCTGATTATTATCAATGATGAAAACAGTTGTGCTGCTTAATATTTTTGTGGAAACTGTGATACATTTAATTTTTCAGGATTCTTTGATGAACAGAAAATTCAAAAGAACAGCATTTTTTGAAATAGAAATAGTTTGTATCATTGTAAATGTCTTTACTATCACAATTTAATGCATCCTTGCTGAATAAAAGTATTAATTTCTTTCAAGAAGAAGAAAAAAAAACTCTTTCTGACCCCAAACTTTGGAGAGATAGTATACATGAATGATTTGGGAAAAATAAATAAATAGAGAGAAAGTTTGCTAATAGAAAAAAAGTATTTGGTAGATTAGACTATTTTTTTTTTACTAATATTTTTTTGGTAAATTAGACACCATTGTAATCATGCGTTCCACCTTATACAACAGCTATTGCATTGGGAGCTCACTGAGGACTATGAAGACATCGCACTAGGTTTTAGAACAGAGCCTTGGAGTGAAAGTCACATGACGTATCTCAAAGTTTTGACACGCCATGCTGTTGAGTCTAAGGTTCTGTTAAACACGTAAAGTTGAAAATTCATCCATTCCAGAGTTTCCAAACACGCTCATGCTTTTCTTTAGCGTCTGCATACCACGAGACCACCATCGCATCCAGAACGGATTGCAAGCGCAGAAGCCACCTCAGGACCGTTTGTTCAGTTCCAGACAATCAGAGCGGGCCGTAATTGTTCCGGCATGATGGAAATCATTTGGTCACAGTGCTGCTATTATGCAGCAACTGGGAATGGCATCCCTAGTATGATGAGTTTGAGCGGACGTCTCTCTGTTTGGGTGGCCCAGTTCCTTCAGGGGAACATTGACATCAACCGTGAAAAACCTGCAGTCTGTGGAGGCAGCCAAGCGAAGGCCTCCATGTTAAGACACGTAAGATAAGCAGACTTTCTATTTCTGTTCCACATCTTTGTTTCGGAATTTTACGCTCGTATGATGCAATTCTATAGTTATTTGACTGTATATATAGTCTTGAGTCGATTTGGTAGTAGGGTTGGAGTAACCAAGTAAAGTCTGGTGAGTGTCCGTCAAATGAGAGTGTTTGAGATAACGGTGCCAGTGATGAAAGCAATGACCTCACTGATATCAACTTCAACCCACTTTATGCCCCACTAGCAGTAGGAACACAGGAAATATGTTTAAAGCTATGTTTACAATATTGCAATGTAGGTCTGTGCGATTAATCGAAATCGTCATAAAATCGCGATTTGAGCTTGCGCGATTTCTAAATCGCTTTATAGCACGATTTTCCGCACCCCCGACCTCCCGCAGTATGCTATCCGAACCAATCAGAATGCAGCGTGCCTAAATGGAGCACGAGAACAGAACAAACCGGGCGGGCATACAAACGTAACGCCAGGTTCACACACTCCGTCTGTGGTGCATATTTTTTCCGTGCCCATGTTAACAGATCAGAGCGTTCACACTGCATGCGATTGCGGTCCGGCAGTGCGCTCCAGGAGCGGTGCGTCTGCAGCAGTCATGCTGCGATCGTTTCCGCACGGAGTCTAT